TTAATAAAAAGAAAGCAAAACTAATATTTGATGGGTTTTTCTTTAAACAGAAGGTATAGATATGTCACAGTGAAGAGTCCAAAAGGTTTAAAGTGACATTAAAGTCACATATCTCTCTCCCCCCCCCCATCCTGCTTTACGGACTTGCCTTAAGTGATGTCTCTTGATCCGATTACCTTCTTCTTTCCCGCACAGACTCCTCGGGTCCCACTGTTTCTGTCCAACGTGCACTCCCACGGCTGCGTGCATTCACCTCCACTGTGTGTCTCCTCTTCTCTCCGCCTAAGATCTCTACTGCGCATTCGCCCACCCTATCATCCTGCACGGCCGCTCCAGAAGCTTCAGATCTTCAGCCGGGAGCGAATGGCGGAGACAAGGGTACGTTTTTATCTATTTGGTTACTTTTTATTTTTTTAATGTTTTTGCATATATCTACTGCTTGCTAGCAGTAGATATATGTAAAAAATGGGACATCAATAATACTTTAAGTATGTCACAGTGAAGAGTACAGATGGTTATACATAAAGAACGTGTGCAATACTGTACTTGTAGTATAATATCCAAGCAGAAATGATAAGAGCAGATGAGCTGAGTTTTCAAAGTGTCATTTGAAAGTAGGGATGCTCGTCCTCTTTTGAAAATATTCCTTCACTCACTGCATCTGGCTTCAATACAATTAAGACAACAGACCTGGAACAAGCAGGCTGAAAAAAAAGTGTTAACATTTCTTATCTCTATACTTTTTCCAGGTGTGATCACATTGACATGAAAGTATCAACTTTTCTCATGACAAAGAATCCTTCTCTTATGCCTGTTGATTATGTGTTTAGATGAAGCACTGAGATCTTGAGGAATGCTGAATTAAGTTTTACTAGCTTAGGAGAACATTACATCAGAATACAGCATTGTGCAGGAAACATATATATAAAATAATTCCTATGTATTGTAGATAAGCATGCATATAGAAAACTAACATTGCACTACAGTGCCATCTACAGCTCAAAAGACAGATTATCAGTATATGCTGTTGCATTTCCAACATGCCTACAGTTATTAAGAAATTATATAACTCTAAGGGGCTCGTTTATAAGGGAGAACAAATATCGCTAACTTCACTCTATTACACAGCACATTGCTACGCACACTGCAGCCCTGTCCATTCATAAAAATCAGCCTGCAATGTGTAGCCGGTAAGCATCCCCTCTTAGGGGCTTAATTTTAAAGCAGTAAACATGACATTCTCCAAATATTCACTGCAGGTGAATATTCCTGGTGAGTATGTTTTAATATATAGTAAATGTCTGGTGAATGTCACATTCATTGTTTTGTAAATATGCCCCGTAGAGTATTTTAAGTGTTTGTGTACATGGGTTTCAGACTCAAAAGCAAGTTATTGTGTCGCTTTAAGTCACATTTGAGTTGCTCTGACCTGCTTTTGACTACCTTCTGAGGTGCTTATGATAAACCTATAGCTTTAGACAGTTACTCCTAGAATGAGATCCTAATAGGTTGGACTTGATGGACTAATGTCCAATCCTCATGTCCTAATGTTCAACCTCAAATACTATGCAACTATGTAACTAGATGGCATTTAATATTGGAAGTTAGCTAGCAATCCATCATTGGAATAAAATACTATTATTATCATTGGACTTTATATATTTGTTTAACACATTCTTAATTTAGCTACTAGCTATTTGTCAAGCCTATTGAGCTGTTTGTAGTAAATTGCACGATAAAGGATAGTTGTAGCTTAACATTCCTTATTTGGTAACCAACAACTACAAAATCATGAATAATGTGAAACCTTGCACCACTACACCAATCAAGTTAGGCAGCAGCTGAAATCTGTGTGGTCAGATATAATATAAATTTGATAATAGAAGCCGCGCTGTGTGAATAATTCTAATTCTAGTATCTCTGATACTTTGTAGAATTATTCACACAGTGCGGCTTTTATGATCAATTTTAAACTACAAAATCATCACCGCTCTTGCAATTGCTCAAGTGTCTCTGCCCGGGTATACTGCAGGTGCACATCCATGCCCAGCATGTCCCAATACACTCCAAAAGAAATGCCACACACCGCTGATGTCACTGTAGCTAAAACTTTATTTAGCTCCAAGAACAAGCAAGAGGCCATTCCCACCTGCCAACTGCCCATGTCTGACACATTTTACCCTCTATGACCAAGCCCATAAGGGTGAAATACATCAGAGGCAGGTGGTTTGGAGGCGAGTGGTTTGAAGGTGAGGACAGCATCATGATTGTTCTTGGACCTGAATAACATTTTATCTATGGTGACGTCAGAGGTGTGCAGCATTTCTTTTGGAATGTATTTGCTATTTGGTGTTGAAGGAAGCGAGATGGAGATTGTTGGCAATTTCTGGCTAACAGTTAATGCTCTCAGATGCGGAACGTGTCTCAATTTGTGGTAAATGGCAATTTGTATAGGCATACCTCGAATACATGCTTCATAAGCTAGCCAAACCTTATCTGGTTTAGTTTTGTCATAGAAAGATATTCAGATATTTAGGTAGAGATGGTAATGATCACATCTGGGTTGTAAAAGAAGGCCTTCTTGAGCCACCAGGTAGTTGTAGAACAGACCAAAGACATAATATGACAAGAGTATATCAAATTTTTGAGGTTAGTGGTTTCATTGAGCATGACATTTGTCCTTGGAGATGTTTTTTTGGCATGGTAAGAATATCTCCTCAGTAACATTCATCTATTCATGTGTCTGTAAAATTAAAAAGAGAGAGGAGTTTTTATTTTTGATGTTGGTCTGTAATAACTTTAAATGTCCCTTAAATAATGTTTTAGGACAGGACTCCATGCCTGATGAGGGCTCGGTATAAAAGAGTATCAAGGAGTAGACATGTGCGATTCGTTTCGTTCCGAATCGAAATTCGGACGAATTTTCGGAAATTCGGACATTCGGATGTATCTGAATTCCGAATTACAGATATAATGAATGCAAACGAATCCGAATTTCCGTTTCCGAAATTCGATAGCGGTAGTTCGTTTGAACGTTCGTTTCGTGTTCGTTTCTTATTCGTTTAGTTCGTTGGAGCAAAGTGACATTGAATGTCACTTTGCTGCAAACGAACGTTCGAACGAACTACCACTACCGAATTTCGTCCGAATCCGAATTCTGAATTCAAATTGACTTTCACACCCGAATCCCGAAAAACGAAATAACACAAATCCGAATTTAAAACGAAACGAAGCTAAACGAATTTTTTGTCAGTGCACATGTCTATCAAGGAGTATTCAAGAGGGGTTCTAGGTTTTCACCAGTCTGTATGACGTAGCTGTACTGGTTATTAGTGGAATCAGGGATGTTCACCAGTTGGCGTTGGTGGCTAAAACAAACTAAGTTTAGGTCAAAAGCCAGTTATTAACTTGTGTGTTTTCTGAATGTGAAAGGAAATTGCAGCACTACACTCAAACATAGGGAAAATCAGACACCTTAAGCAGGAACTGAACATCAGAAGTATACCACATATACCAGTGCTAGTATATTGTAATGTAGCAGTCAGTTATGTATGACACAGTACAAATGTAAAGGGCAATATTACCATAAAGTGTCCTTAGTTATAATTATATCTAATCAGATCTTTCTGTTTTCATGCTTGCAGTAAAAAAACAAAAAAGTTGTAAGCTGGTTGCCATGGGTAACAAAACATTTTCCTTTAGAAGAAGTCAGAGTGGTTGGGTAGTTTCCTCGTAGGGTTGACTCATCCAGTACAATTTTTATCTTCCCCACACTTACAGAAGTGCTATCACTCACACCTTGCTTGTGTGTTACAAGCTTTTGATGTAAATGCCTTTTCGTTTCGATATAGATAAAAGTATGGAGAAATGTAACAGGGTTATTCACAAAAGGGTGAAGAGTTTGGAGAAGGCAGGAGAAGTGAACAATCTAGGCCAAAATAGCTGATTTGAAAAAATTCTCCAATTCAGCTCACTTTCCAGTTCAGCTATGTTGTCCTAGATTGTTCACTTCTCCTGCCTTCTCCAAACTCTTCACCCTTCTGTGAATAACTCTGTAAGGTTTTTTATCACCTAATGGATGCTGTTTAACATAACACTGGCATCTATTTTAATTTTAAATCAACGGCATGGATTACAGAAAGAAATATTAAAAAGGCATCACAATGTTATGCATGTCCTCATTTTATTAGGTAATTTCAGATGTTACAAAAAACTGTTAAACGTTTTACCAAAAGTGACATTTGACATACATTCTGTCTGCCTTAAATGGGAACTGTAATCCAATTTCTAAACACATCACTATCTTCTACAAAAGATCTACTGTTAAGTGTATTGTATTGTCTATATATCAGAGGTATGTGAAAATAGAAAGAAAACTGCATTTGGTACTATCATTCTTAAGTAAATAAAAATATGGTTCCTGCTGTGCTATCTGGTCCTCTGCTTTTCATGTCCGTGACATACCTATCACAATGATCTATTCTGTAATAAACTAGTAGGAAGCACCATGACTAGTGTTCCTTCCTATGACTGGTTCTCTTAGATGCTGGTGATTGATAGTATGAAAGTGACAGTATTTGAGTATTGTCCCTCTTCAGTCCTTAATCCACCAGCAGCATCAGCCACCTACTGGCCTAATACACTCACTGCTAGAATTTTCTGTACTTCTACCAGAAGGATCTTTGTGATTGAGAAACTGGCATTACCTTGATTAACATACAATAAAACCATAGAATGCAATTCAAAAAAGTTTAAGAGCAAGTTTACTATTTAATAAACTTGTAATGGATCTGACACACCAGAGAGTGAGAGTAGTTTGTCTGTGGCTGGAAAGGTTGGTAGATTTTGGTCAAGAAAAGGACTGAAGCACCCAAAATAAGAAATGGCATAGACTGAGACATTATAGATGTTAGTATTCTCTACTAACTATATTTCTGACAATGATGTCATTGTGCTATCATAAAACAAGCCTGTATGAAGAAATATATAAAGCAGCAGAATTATTTTAATTCTTGCAATGATTTCCAATTATCCACGATCCATGGATAGTTTAGATATCGTAAAGCTCTATTCACTGAACTTCTTTCAGAAGGGTTCAGTGCCATTAACTGCCTGAGCATATCCATGGCCTCAAATGTAAGTTTTCTCCAATGCCAAGATAGCTCTTCATGACTGCCAGTTTGCTGCCACAATATAAAATCTTCAAAAAACGGATCAGATGGCAGTGTTTTTTCCCAAGGGAAATATCCTGTCATCAAACAAAAGAGAAGAACTCCAAAGGCCCATGTATCTAGAGTGAAATCAATGGCAACTGCCTCTCCATTCTGAGAGTTGCTTAATTCTGGTGCCGTGTAAGGAATGATACCAGACACAAGTTTAAGCAAGGTGCCTTTGGGACGAGTCAGTCCAAAATCAGTAAGTTTGATTCTTTGACAATCTCTACCGAAGAGAAGCACATTTTCAGGTTTTACATCTCGATAAACCAGGCCTCTGCTGTGGATGAATTCAAGGGCGCTCACTAGTTGACTGGTGACCTTCTTGGCAATTGGTTCTGGTACTCCTTCCTGTTAAAATATACAAGCAACAAAAATACAAATTAATATGATAATTACTGAAGGGTTATGTGGGAAGCATTTGAAATCTAATTATCAGCATGATCTAGCTCACTTTTTTTGGAAATTCTGCTCCTTTTCCTAATAAAATTATATACTGTGCATACAATTTTAGGTGATAAAAGTACTGGAAACAATTACAAATATATCAATTTAGGTTTTGATAGATATAGGAATGGTTTGAACACTGATATGTTTTTTTTTTAAACAAAGCAAAAAAAAAAAAAAGATTTGCCTTTAGATAAACTTTAATCATTTTGATAAAAAAAGGGGAAAGTAAAATAAGTAGCATTGTTGGTTAGGTATAAAAAAAACAGCAATGTCGTTTAAATGTTGATCTTATGTCACTTGTAACGAAACTTTAAATAAACAAATTATTCTATTTTGTTAGATTAAAAAAATCCAATGTTTTTCTCTAAAACGTCAATTAGCCTCTTTTAAGGCCAGGCAGGTAACAGGTAAGGACCAAAGCGCAGCAAATCATAAAGTACCTTGGTTCTTGTGTTTATCATACTAACAAACTGGATTGGAGTGGATTTTTTAAATAAAAAGTATTCAACAAAATGTGTTTTTCCACCGTCCACAAATGTGTTTTTGCTAGAGTATTGAAGCAACTGGGTCAGCAGGACACCCAGAAAGGTCAGTATTTGCTGTTGCATTCATGTTTTCAGGTTTCATGCTTTCAGGTTTTCTTCAGTAAACCTCACTATATATTATAGCTTAGCAAATGTTTTTGTTTTGAATTTTCTGCATTCAGAATCCACCTGTAATCCGCAATTAGAGCAGAAAATTGGATGTGGTGAAGATAAACCATGCAATGGAATGCCTGTCAGCCCAAAAGCTCTTAAAGCCCAACTCAAACATAATTTTTTGTAAATCAGCCCCCACTCCCTGTTGTACAACAAAAATGTGCCGCGCAGTAATCTCCATGATCCAGCACTGCCCTAATTCTGTGGTCTAGCATCAGTTGTCTTCAGGGTTGAATGATACCCAGCATTATTCAACCCACTTCCTGTGAGTCTAGAGAGGCAAGAACATCAAGCTTTGGAGGTGTGTCAGCAAGCCACTCTGGACTTAAAGGGGAATACTGCAGAGAGCATTGCCATGTCGTTACAGATTGCCATTCTCTGCAGCATTCTGGACCAGGGCCATAGCTAGGGCTCAGCACGGCAGAGAGAAGAGGCTCTTCTCAGGTCCGCGATGCTCTTCCCTCCCTGTATGGGCAGAGACAGCGGGGATTCAAGTGAAGCCGGCGGGGGGGGCGGAGGAGGGAGCTGTCACTTTAGGATGGCCAAGCAGTGAGGAGAGAGTGAGCCGCACGGCCAGGATCTGACAGCCGGCGGCTTTTTCTCTCCTCACCGCTCGGCCATCCTGAAGTGACAGTGCTCCCTCCTATGCCCCCCCCCCACACACACACACACAGGCTTCTGTGCTTCACTTCTCCTTGAATCCCCGCTGTCTCTGCCCATACAGGCAGGGAAGAGCATCGCGGACCTGAGAAGAAGCTGCAGGCTTTGCCGCCCCTCTGTGTGTGGCAGAGCGGCTCAGGATGGAGAGCGGAGGATCGGTTAAAATCTGTGATATTTACTGATCCTCTGCATGCAGCAAAACACTGGAGTGATCAGGTGATCACTCCTGTGTTTGTAAATAACTGGGGACACATAGTACTATGTGTCCCTAGTTATGTATGAACAGGAAGTGCTTTACATCACTTCCGCTATATTCATGAGTTTCTGAATGGGTAGTAGGACTCAGTACAGATTCTTCTCCCCATTCAGAAACTGGTTGATAGTAATTATTTCCAGTATATGTGTACTTTCCATTCCTCAATTTCTTTTTCTATTTTAAAAGGGAAATATCAGGGGGATGCTTTTCCAAAGCGCCCCCAACAGTAAAAAATAAATAAATAAAATAAAATGAAAAAAAATTAAGAAATATCAAAAAATAAAGAAAAAATAAAGAAAACACATCCTGAAGGCGGGGAGCATGACGATACATAAGGCTGCACATGCGTGGCGTTGGGTGATGTCACACGCCTGTTAGGGGGCACTTTTTTTGTTCTTGCCTCGGGGGCAAAAAAAGCTAGCAATGGCTCTGTTCTGGACCTTCCCACCACCAGAGGAAGAAGAGCATGAAGAGGAACCATGCATGAGATTTCCGTTAATTGAACTTGTCTGTTATTGACAGGTTGTCCTTTTTTTCTCAAAGAGCTACCTTGGGATTTACGCCAAGGGCTAATCTTTCCTCTAATCTTCTGGAACTGAAATATTAGTTGCAGACATTTCACTGTATGGTTCAATGTTTTAGAAATGAGTATAAGGTCTGAGAGCTCTGTCTGTCTGTTAGAGCATATGTAGCACTCATCGCTCTTGCAGGTCTTTCCATTTCTCAGCCAAGTTTCTGAAGTTGTTTCTCTAGCGCTGATGTTTCCTGGAAGATCTGGAGGAAATATATACCATAAAGTGTACACAGCAACAAGATGCAGGTAGAAATAGAATGTCCACAAAAGTTATCTTTCTTAGGAACTTGAAAACTAATAATTGAACCACTTGTATAGCATTACCTTTGCAAAAGGAAAACCTTTAAATATGCTCAGGTCTTGTTTATTATATAACATTTTTGGGGAACACATTCCAAGCAACTCCCCAGTGCTGATGGGTGTGAAGATTGATTTCAACTCTGTGGGGGCCACACGTTCTTTTCCTTCTGACTATTATGATACCAGAGCTGGAGTCAAAGCTACTAAAGTGACATTCAAATCACCAGCAATTTATTGGCTACCACATTCAACAGGTGCATATTACCTCTGTAATAAACAAGACGAATGTGAAGGGCAAGTGTCAGCAAATGTTTCAATGATCAATCTGTAAACATTCACTGGAGAATGTCTTTTGAATGCTTATACAAATATTCCCTTACAGGGCAGAAGATTGTAAATTTAGAACAGTTTGTCAGGAAAATGTGACAGAGCTAAAGTGTGTGCATAGCCAACACTTTTTATTGTATTGGATAGATTAGGGAAAGATTATCTTGGTCTCCCAGTCTCGCTCTCAACCCCCACAATAAAGAATATTTTGTGGGCCCTAGTTTGCCATGCAAAATAAATAAAGTAACTACACAGTCCAGGACCAATGAACACTATGTTGTACTATACTAAAATGCGGATTTGTGAGTCTGGGACATTACCAGTGTGGCAGTCTTTCTTACCTATATTGTTTACACTGTTGCTGGTATTCCATTCCTTTGTCATAATAGGGTTAATACAGACCATTCTTGGGACAGAAAGAATAAGGCCATTTGCGGCAGCCTGCTGTAACTTATGAACCTTTATTCACTATTGCAAATTATTTTTTGTCCTAATTTCTCTTGGGGGACGGTCCCTGGCCACTCAGTCCTGTGTGCAATGTAAGGAGGTGTATAGAACGCCCCATGTGCATTCTAGGCACTTTCTTACATTGTTTACCATCATCTAACCCAACATCAGATCCATGATACTTTCAAATGAGTCCTGCACAGCACATTGGTGCCAATCTTGGGTTCAGGCGACTATTGGCATTTGCTGTTTTTCCTATGCCCACTACTGTTTATACTAATGCATCTCCCAGCTGCTGCAGATGACCTTCATGGTCTTTTGCAGATTTACATGTTTGCCATTTCTATTATACCGTCTAATAACCACTGTAGTGGTATCCTATTTTTGAGCCATCCGGTATGAGTACCATGCTACAGTCCTGTCATGGACTTCACTCACCTTACATTGTTACTATGCACTCTTCAAAGCCATAATCTCCCTCATCATTTTCAACCATAGGGGACCCCCTGCCCAGGTGGACCCATGCTGCCTCAACTGCAAGTCATTAGACCAGCTCACCACCTGCTCTTCATGCCTATGAAAATTATGTACTTTCTGGTCCCTTCCTTTCCTCCCGCCTTTTCCATTCCCTCCTTCCTCTTCCTCCCTTCCCTCCCCCTTCTTCATTATCTTTCTCCCCTCCTCTTTTCCCCCCTTCCTACCCTGTTCCCTTCACCCTCCCCCGTGAGTCCCAGGGATGCTCCATCAGCTTCTTGATATTACACAAAAATGACGCTTAATTGGCTAATCCTTAATGTCCAAGACCTTAACTTCCCCCAAAAGATATTTAAATTATTCTGATATCTGCACAATTGGATTGACCTGGCCTGTCTTCAGGAAAGACATTTAGCCAATCTTTCTAAATCCAAGTTTTTTGATGTCCACTACCCACAAGTTTTCCATGCCAATGTCCCTACCAAAACTTGTGAAGTCCTCATTGCATTTTGTAAGTCATCCCCCTTCCGCTCTGCTCCCTACTCTCAGTCCTGAGGATCTCCAGCTGGCGATGAGAGATACATGGCGGTGGGGGGAAGACAGAACCAAGAGGACAGAGCCAGCGAGGAGAGAGGTAGGCGTGGGGTGGGCAGCGGGGGGAGGACAGACCTGCTGGCTGGATACAAGTGGCTTCCCTGCTCTACATTTAGCTCTGCTTGCCCAAAGCAGGGCTAAATGTATAAAACAACTTACCACCCGGCGCCCAGAAGTGCATGCTCCAGGCGTCAGGAGATTCCACACCCCTGCCGCCCCTGTGCACTTGGTTGTAAATCCCCTCCAGACACAAATATCTTCCCTAAACCATTAGCTGATCAAAATCCAAGTATTATTTCACTTGCCACATGCTTTTGATGTCACATGGGTGATCCAGAAAAGATTTTCAATTATTCTTGGGTAAGTAGTGTATAAAGGTGCCTTAGGACCCTAGTGCCTTAGGAGGGAGGTGTTATGGTCGAGTGTGAAACATAAGCCAATCAACATAAAATCAACCACAAGGGCAATCCAGTGGTGGGGGACCATAGAGGGGTATTATATGAGTGACTTGCTGCACTCCTTACCGTTATAGAATGTTCCTTGAAATCTTGGTGGTTGCTAGTAGTGACCACGGATGGCGCCGTGAAGATATACAAGTTTTCAAAAAGATGTTGGTGACATCCATTTAGGTGAAATCAACAGAGTCCATTTATTAATAAATGGACTCTGTTGATTTCACCTAAATGGTGTGCTAGTGACATCCTTTTGAAATCACAGAGGGGTAATGACACAATGGGAGAAGAAGAATCCTACTATATAGCTGCCACACAATGCGCCCTTGGCACTACTATACGCAACCTAGGAACTCCCTTTGTGTACAACCTTGGATCTAGTCAAGTGCCACCCTGTTCCCATATCTATTCTGCCATGGCTATACCCACCAAAATGCCCACCAAAGCTTAATCCTATATTAACTCATTCCTTTCAGTGTGGGACTCAGTCAAGTACTCAGGGAAATTATTATGCCCCAATTTACCTATATGGGAGATATTAAATTGCCCTTTGTTCCCCAGACCTTGAGATTCAGGCCCAGTTTATATGGTGGAGAACCCATGGTGTTAACAACATTTTTAAATTGACCTTCATGGGCATCGAAACTTTTTAACAAATACAGGACTCTTACACTATCTCATTATGGGAACAGTACTATTACCTGGAAATACAACATTTTATTAAGTCCTTACTAAAACATAACACATCTTCCCTCATTAGTATAGCCTTTGAGCAGCATTGCCACAGAAACCCACACTCCCTCAGCCTCAAGTCTTCAATTTACTCTTCCCTTCAGCCCCCTGGTATACATGACCCAAGGACATATCAAACAAAGTCTGAAGCTGTGCTGGGCATGACACTTCAGCCTGAGGACTGGCAGGAGATTTGCAATTGCTAAACGCTAAAAAATTCCCTGGCACTTGAAAATTCCTACAAGGTCCTCTATGTGACCTTTAGCTTGGCTAAATATATTCCTACTTACCCTTCAGCATATTTAAGAGGATGTACAATGGCACACATCTAGTGGATCTGTCCTTGAGTTAATCGATTGTGGATAAGGCCTCATGTACACTACGTCGGAAAAACATCAGTCCAGGAGCATTTGGAGCTCTTTTCTAAATATACCTGGACTCATGTAATACTTTTCTATGACTGAATGCACACCTAGACTTTCAGCAGCATCTAGGTTTATTAGAAGCTATACCCAACTAGAAATTTCTGCTTCCTGAGTCCATTCAACCCAGTTTTACGTAGCTAAACGTGTTAATGCATGTAAAGGCATGTAAACATGTGTAAAAGTGACTAGGCCCAGCAATGCACACCTAGACTTTCAGCAGCTTCTAGTTTTTTTAGAAGCTATACCCAACTAGAAATGTCTGCTTCCTGAGTCCATTCAGCCCAGTTTTATGTAGTTAAACATGTGTTAATGCATGTAAAGGCATGTAAACGTGTGTAAAAGTGACTAAGCCCAGCAACAACCAAACCAGAAAAAGTAATCTAGATAACTCTTGTGTTTACATGCAGCCAGCTAGTGCAGGTAGTGCACACGAGGCCTAAGGGTAGATGAGGCCTCATCTGTTCTCTTCTCAATACTAACTTACATAAGTGTGTGTGGGATGCCCTTTTTAGCAAACCCATACCTTATTTCTTCTGACTAGAGACGGTCCCTAATTACACATATTTTTATGGCCTCCTGACCAACCATAGCCAGGGCTTGGAAGACTCTCTCATTGAACTTTGATGAGGTTAAAAATCAAATAAATTGCTAAAGATCTATATGAAACTAACACCCATTCTGACAGACACCCACAGAAAAATCTTGAAAATATTTTAACCTCGTATTTTGTATTCACAACCTAAACAATCCCCCCTTCTCCAACACCTTCCTAACTTCACTCTTTTCCCATTTTTCGCCATTTTCTCTACTGCCTTTCCAACTTTCCCTACCTCCTTTCCCCTTCCCTCCGCTTTCCTGAACATTTCCCACTCTTCAATACCCTTCCTGCCCCCCACCTCCCCATCCCTCACCTTCACCACCTATTTACGTTGCCCATCAACCTGCTTCCCTCGCCCCTCCTGACACCTTCTCTATGGGGCAACAACTAACGTCCCTCATAGGGTTTCCTTTGTTGCCCAATCTTGCCTCCAATATTCCACTCAATTCTCTAACATTTCAGCTAAAATCTAATCTTTCTAATCCATTCTGGATTCTGCCTTTCTTATATTTCTTACACTATACTGTTTCTTTATGGTATGTTAATGTCTACATGATGTCATTACTGTTTTTCTCTGGAATTATTTCCCATTTGGCTGTCAAACCATACTTTGTAACCCTTAAAAATCAATAAAACCTTTAAGAGAAAAAGTCTACAAAAAATGAGAGTGCTTTTCTAATACTTAACCCTTATATGACAGGGGGATGACCATCTGGGTTAGTTTCTTTAGCTATGTTAATGTTATTTAGGTATAACCTGGACATGTTCTTGTGTTATGCTAGTAACAATTAATATTTTTGCTTTGTTCTTTACAAGTATATTTCCCAAGTTATCTTTTGTAGCCTCTGTATTATCAAACTTCTTTCCTTTAGAATGTATCAAGTTGTAAATGTTTTTGTTGTAATTACCTAAGCAATCTGCTTTTTAAGCTCTATTTTTTTAGTTTTTATTTCATACCTTATACAGTATTTATAAAATATCAGTACCCTTAACTTAACTTATATACTTTACTTATACCCTTAACTTTAAGGGAATACAATTATTAATTTTTCTGCTAATTGTATCTACATACTGTACATTACTATTTAGCCCTAAAAGTTTCATTTATTGCTAGAGATTATGTTCCTATAGGAATTGTACTTGCTTTAGCATCTGTTAAAACCCAGGGATAAGCAAATATTGCTTAAAAAATACAAGAGCCATGTGTATTCTTTCTTGAATCTTGGTGTGCTTTGTGTATTTCTTACAGACTTGTGCAGTAATCCAGTGTAAAACTCTACCTCTGTGCAGAACTTTCCTGTAATAACGACTGGTGGTCACCACTGGTCTCTTCTCCTTGAGCCCTTGTAGCTTATCCTGGATCATTGTAATACACAGCCGCTTGTGTGCAAAGTTTTATGCCTCTCCACCTCTATCTCTATCTCTGGTTCCCACCTTAGGCTGGCTGCTAGCATGGACCTCCTGCTTCCTAGCAACTACAGAAAGCAGTGAGAATTGCTCCTCTCTGTCTTCAACTCAAACATCTCCCTTCTCTTACCTGTCTTAATAGGTATCTAATTAGGTAGGTCTAAAGGGAAAGTACCTGTCCTCTCAAAGAAACCCAAAGTAACCCACTATTAGCCCTGCCCTAGGCTGATTCCCAACAATATAGATAATAAAGAGGACTATAAAGTCTTCGCCAGATTGACTCCTTGATTGCCCGTATAGTCCTTTATAATTTTATAATTATAACTCACAAATTTTATCAACTTATAGCACATTAAAAATAAAACATAAAATTTAACTTTTTCTTACACTTGGCTTTATAATGGAAATTAGATCTTTTTGCAGCGCAGCTTCATACAGGAAACCATAGTGCTCAGAAGATTCAAATGCGATTCCGAACATGCCAATAATATGTGGGTGAGTAGATAGGGATAGAGCCACACAGTATTCATACAGGAAATTCTGCCTCTTGGTTAAAGTTTTTGTAAGAAGCTTTAAAGCCATTGGTGTTCCTGTAAAATAAGTATACATAAAAATGTGAGAATATTTTATAAAATATTGGATGTTGTAAGCTACTACATGTTGAACAACACATTTGCTCTTTGCATTGTCATAGTAATAAGCTAACTCGTGATCTAGTTAATGCCTAACTCAGGCTAAATGTAAAGAAAAAGATAAATATATATAGATTACACAATTTTTGGGGCCTGTCGCAGACACAAGATGAAAACATCTCTAAATACTACACCAGCTATTCTTATGCAAGTGCCTCTACGTATATACAAACCTTGGTTACAATAGATTTTCAGTTTTATGTCTACATTGTAACGTTACAAAATATTATGTTATTTCTGTTTTTGGGAAGTAGTTTGCATACATTATATGGCCCACAGTTTGTAGACATCTGCCCATGATATCTATATAAGCTTGTTGGATATCCCAATCCATAATTATGAACCTTAACATTGAATTTTCCCCCTGTTTCCAGCTCTAGTAGCATTCAATCTTCTGGAAAAGCATTAATTTGTGACATCAGGTACTGATATTGGGCAAGTGGATTTTGCAATTGATGTTCAAATTCATCCCAAAGGTGTTCAGTAGGGTCAAGGTCAAGGCTCTGTTTAGGCCACATGAGGTTCTCACACCAAACTTGTCAAATAATTTCTTTATCACGCTGGCTATGTGTATAGGGGGGCATGCTGGAATAGAAAAGGGCCTTCCCCAAACTGTTCCCAGGAAGTCGGAAGTGTACATTTGTCTAAACTTTCTTTTGTATTCTGTATCATTAACAATACCCGTCATTTGGAATGGTGCCTACACTCTATTGACCATATTGATAGGTGTGATGGTTCGGTGTTCACGTACTTTTAGACATATAGTGTATTTGGCAAATCCACCCCACTTTTTATTATGCCATCCCATCTCAGTTGCATAACATAGGGGTCTATTCACGAAGCAGCCGAAGAATCTAGCCGTAGCTTCTGCCGATCCTTTGGCTGGCTTCGGCCCCAGGACCCCTTCGGTTCAGTAGAACCGAAGGGCTGCTGTACGGGCTATTCACTATAGCCCGTACAGCTCCCGAACTTGGCCGAGCGGCTCAGTCGAGCCGAACGCATATGCCTCGGCTCGGCTGAGCCACGCTGAAAGCTGAAGCTGGCCGAGAGGCTGGCCATTGGCCGGCAGACAGCCTGCTTCTCACAGCTGGGCAGAGCCAGCCATGATCTTACGGCTGGCTCCGGCCACTTGCAGAGAGATCAGCGACCCTGGTTACCAGCTAACCAGGGACACTGATCTCCAGACAGCAAACTCTCCCTGGCGCTCCGGGAGTCTCCCGCTTCCGGCCACCAAGGAGAGAAACACTGCTTTTTCTTTTTTTTCTTATTCTGACACGGTCCACTACTGATTGACAGCAGCAGAGAGCGGGTACAATGCTAGTTTGCTATTGGCTATTGCAAATTGAAATAGCCAATAGGAATCTAGCAATGCATTTCTATGGTCAAAATGTTTTAATTTTTTTTTTCTATTCAAAAGCATTGTACCCGCTCTCTGCAGCAGAACCGCCGTCCAATAGAAACCTGTTGGGCGGAGCTAGCTGTCATTGCTAGCTCCGCACAATTGTTTTCTATTTTAATTTTTCTACTTTTTTTAACTGTTTTTCTGTTCTGCTCGGTCCCGCAGAGGGACTGAGCAGAACAGCCGAGCCGAATGCCGCTCGGCCGCATTCGGCTATTCACTCACTGCTGTTCGGCATCTATGAGAATAGACCGAACAGCAGCGAGTAGCCTGCCGGAGGTTCGGCTCAGCCGATCCAGATGTTGGATCGGCTGAGTCGAACTCCTTCTGCACTTCGGGTCGGCTGAACATGCTGAGCATGATCGGCCGACCCGAAGCCACGCAAAGCCACCCGATGTAGGCTGATTTCAGCCGATATACGGCTGAAATCAGCCGTACCAGCCTGAAGTGAATAGCCGAACAGCATTCGACTCACTTCACTTCAGGTCGGTCTTTCACTCGGCTGCCTACAGCAGCTTAGTGAATAGACCCCATAGTTATAATGCCATGGGGGTTAAACATACGGGTACTTCTTTGTTCCTTTATGCTGGAGTGTCATTTTTATGTCAGGCTGCAAAGAGTCAAAACTATTTTTTTATATTTTTTAACTAATAAATGGCACTTGATGTTAATGAATGTGAATGTTAGATGCATAAATGAAATTCTTAATAAAAGCACTGTGCATGTTAAACTTAATACATAGCAAAACTACAATGCAATTCCATAACAACCTATAGCCAAAAGTCATTGAGGCAAAAAGTGATAGAAAATGCAAAATGTTATAGTTGTCTCCAGGACAAGAGACGAGGTTAAACATTCCTATGAGGGCACCTGCCCTATCTGCTGGGAATCATACAGCTCATAATTTGTTCTAGCCTGAAATCTTAAGGTGCATAATTCTGTACAGATCAGACTGATTTACTACAAATAATAAGGTGAATTGAAATTGATTATTGACATTCTCTTGATACAATTTATCTGTAATTATCTGTGACTTTCAATTACCTCTTTGACGGTGGATAACCAAGGTTACTTGGCCATATTTTCCTCTTCCAAGTTGTTTGATGAATTTGTAATGATCTTCAACTTCCATCCTAACCAGGTTTTGACCAGTAATTTCCATCATCTCTTCAAGCATGTTAGCTGCTGTCAAACCGATATTTGAGTCCATGACTGATGTGTTGTCCTAATTGCAAAACAAATAAAAACTTGTTTTTAAAATTAACTAAATGTGAGAAGTTATTATTAAAGCCTCTAAGACTGATTATCAATCATTGCAGTGCTTTCATATTGCCCACTTCAGCTTGTCTTTCTCTTATGTATTTCAACTATGCTTAATTGCGCCCGGGCGCAGAGGGGCAGCAGCGGTGTCCTTGTGGGGAAGCAGAACTAAATGTAGAGAGGGCAACTTAACGCTAACATTTAGTCCTGCTTTGCACAAGCAGGACTAAATGGAGAGTGAGGGAAGTCGATTGTTCGTTTACATGTGATCTTTTGCGATGTCGCCGAGATCACATGCAAAAAGTCTGCAGCCTCCCCTCCCCCCTCTACTTACCTCTCTCCTCTGGTTCCATCCTCCAGGCTCCTCCACCGAGTCTCTCCTCACTGCAGTGAGCAGAGCGGCAGGGTTAAAACTAACCCTGCCACTCCATATAGACAGTGATAGGGTAGAGCTGTGCTCTTCCTCTCACCTGTCACAGTTCCATTGGAGTTCTTTATTGACGAGGTCAATAAAGAGAACCTGCCACCTCCAATTGCTATCACACAGGGGATTGCTTTCTCCTGTGTGATACCAATAAAGTTAGGTGAAAAAATTATTAAATTGATTTTTTTTTAAATTAAATAAATAAAAATAAAAAAATAATAAAATGAAATAATTAAATAACAAAATAAAAAGGTGATTAAAAAGTAAAAAAAAAAAGAAACAAATTATTAAAAAATAAGAAAATAATTATAAAAAATAAACAATAATAAGATTTAAAAAATGATAAAAAAAGTAAAAAAGATAAATAAAAATCTAAAAAAATTAAATTGATAAAAAAATAATTAAATAAATAAAAATAAGAAGAAATAATTAAATAAAAAGTGATAAAGTTAAAAAAATAAAGAAACAGTAAAAAAATAATTGAAACTAACCCCGCCGCCCTGCCATCTGGTTGACATTCTCCATTGATGCGGAACCTGGCCTTGGGGCGGCAGGGAGAGTAAATCCGGCCCTGGCTGTAGCTTTATATTCTAATGACACAACCTCTTATGACTGGCTGCTGCAAAGAGTGAGAGGCAAAGGAAAAGGCTTATAGGATGTGCAAAAGATGATGTGGAACCCACTTAATGTACTGATACTGCACAGGTGGATGCAAAAATGGTACAGAAACACCAACAGTTCCTACATTTCCAACTTCAGCAAATCAGTCTCATCTGGACACAATCCCAGGTCAGAGAATAGATTTGCCATTAAATTTTAACTTTTATGTCAAAATAAGTCATTTTTAATACTGATAATGTATTAGTGATGTCAGTTTTTTAAAACTTAGACTGACATTGTGTTCACATGAAAAATCTGAAAGGACTCTTAATGGTAAAACTGAAAAATGTAAATTAGAAAACATAGTTCAGTGTAAAAGTTGCATTTTTCAAGAACCAACCATTACCAACTTACTCCTATCAGGAGGTTGGTTTTAAATTGGATGTTTTAACAACACAGTGGATGTGATTTATGTGGGTCTTGCACAGGGACTTGGCACTGTTCCACAAACAGAGATTATTTCATAGGATTAACACACTAGGATTAGGGGGAAACTATGTATGTGGGTAGATAAATGGCTGATGAATACAGTTCAAAAGGTTGTAATCAGTGGAGCTGATTCAAAATGAGCTTAAGTTATTATTGACCTGCCTCAAGGATAAGTTGCAGGGACTGTCCTTTCCTGTCTTTTAATTGGATGTCAACATCATTTTAATATATAACCCAAGAAAAAAAGGTGTTTACGTTCAGTATAAAAGTATTCATCCTTTATACTTGTGGCTTGAGTGTAGGGCTTTACTTTACAAATATCTGAGATTTCAGGCAATAGTTCCAGATTCCTCTTCAAAATATGTGTACAGTAAGAGTGAAAAATCATCACAAGATGCATACAACACAACTTGAACTTATATTAAAAAATACATTTTGAGCTAGCAGAAGAGGTTCACTCTTCTCTTAAGCCAGCTCTTTCGGTCAAGATAAACTCACATATTACTCCCTTACTTGAAAACCTCACAATAAATGTTTGCAAATTTGAAAGTTGGTTCTCCCTCCTTCCAGGAAACTGGGAGACACATTGGGAGGGAAGGGGGATGGGAGAATCCCTTGATGACCTTAATCACAAGCCTCTTCTTTAGTGGGGCTATGTGGGGAGATTTCAGTTTTGGTCCATATTGGGCATTTCTACTTTGGTGGTTCAATGGTACATATAAATGTGTGTCCTCTACAGGTAACTCTAATCAAATTCTATGGAATGCTGCCATTCTGCAATAATTGCACTGGTAAGCTAAATCAAATTTTCACCCTCTTGATGCAAAGCTTGAGAGCTATTTGGTTTCTTCTTGAACTGACATTGTATCCCTAGTGTGAATTGAGTGTTCTATCACAGATGTGTGTCAGCAGCATGTCAAGAAAAGACATTAAGATGTTTCTGCAGAAGGTCTTTCAAGGCCTGCAGCTGATCCTAATGCATATCCAAATTCTCCAAGCCCACCTGTTCCAACAGCTATTCTACCCCAGTGTAAAAAAGGTGGGCAAACATGAAACTGGCATCTCATTCTAGGTAGCACACTACAGTCATGCACTGAAAATATATTAAGATCTGTCATTTATGCCATAACGATCATTGCTTTCACATTTCTTAAGGGTATTTCCTGCCTGCCAATTTTAGTAGAATCTAAAGAGAGCAGCCATGCTCCCAGCTCCCGGCCTTTGCACAGATTGGGAAGCAAGAAGATCTCCATAGGACATGTGAAAGAATAAGTGAAAATGTTCTCAGCACTTTATAATCATGGGTGAACAAACAAGGGCTTGCCTGAGAGACTATTGCTACTCCAATGAGGCGAGTTAACATAATAATATTGATGACCTGGACACATGCAAATTGGTACCCAATTTATCTGGATTTGACAGACTGGTTCCTGGAGTCCTTAAAAATTTGGCCACACCTGACTTAAAGTGATATGTATGCAAGAAACTGTCATTCAGGGTGCATTCATAAATGCTTAGGGAAGTATGTTTTGCACTTAAAGATGCTGTGCCAAAAAAGGCAAGTAGATTTACTATGACATTTTCACACTGAATCTCTGTATGGAGATGGCCATCTTGGTACAAGCAGAGCTTTGCTTACTCATGTCAGAGCTTCCCTTCAATGATTTCAAAGACAATCATTGTTTAAAACTCTGGCTCATCCTTGTGTTTTATCCTCCGGTTCCCATTTTCAATTGTGCAATTGCTAATCATTTCTTAGCCTAGTTACATTGTACCATGCTTTATCTAACATAATAAAATATCACACCTGAATAGTCATTAAGACTTGGGAAACATTTTACAAATTCAGTCTGGTATAACAATTGTGGAGACGGAATAATAGTGATATCATTTACCTTTATTAGAACTTTTTTATAATATTCCTTTTGTGTGCACTAATAGTGATTTTGGTGGATTTATATTATAAATATCGTTTTTTTCCCCCCACAACTTACCTGCAAGGCACAAAATCAACCATACCAGCTATAAGAAAATGAATTGTTTTTGAAAATCTTTTGCCATCCTTTAAGACCTCATTACACATGAGGAAAATATCAAAACTGGTCTGGCCATCTGAGGTGCACAGCGAGGCATATCCAAACCAGCATAAAGATTAAATCTATCATGACTGCATCATTATCTCACGACAATGATGAAAAAGTGCCTTTGACCCATTAAAACTTAATTGTTTTATTTAACTACGTGAGGACTTTGGGCAAAGAGTGTAAGCCCTAATAAATGTCAACAACCTCAAAAATGTAAATATCTCCTATTCTCGCTGCTTCCCAGCACTAGTAATGGCAATTACCAACTGTCAAAATGACAGCCGGGAATTGCTATGTATTATCTAATACTATCTGCAAGTGTCAATTTACTCAAGAGCAGCTGCATTTTGACACCCGTTCCTGTGTAAATTAACACTTGCAGATAGTCTGCAAGTATGCCTATTCTCTGCATAGACTATAAGGGAAGCTCTAACATGAGGAAACAAAGCCCTGCTTGTACCAAGATGGCCATCTCCATACAGAGATTCAGTGTGAAAATGTCATAGTAGACCTGCTTGCCTTTTTTGGTATAGCATCTACAGTTCAGGTCCTCTTTAAGTGCAAAACATACTTAAGTCTACACTAAGTAGTTATTAATGCTCCCTGGATGACTATAATACCGTGTAATCATTTATTGTTACATTCTATTTAGTATTTAATTCATATATAGAACAATGGTGTGGCTTTTGATCTGCATATGTTATCATTTAAAGAACCCTTACAAATATTTCCTAGATTTCTATTCCTTATTACCTTTAGTTAACCGCAAGTGTTATTACCAAAAAATGTTTAAACCTTTTTTAATTTACATTTATTTTTGTTTGTTATTGTTTTTAGTGTGTGCAAAAATGGAAAAAAAAAAGCCTTTTATTTATTTACAAATAACTATGCTTTGCTATACTTTGTCAGAAACATAATTGTAGTGTTCTTTTGCATGAGACATGAGACAAATGAGCATTTCTGGCTATGAGCAGTTTGGGCTATGAGAAAGACAAAGCAAAACCCTGGGCAACTGTTACCAATTTTGCTACACATGGGGAGAAATATTTATTTTTAACCCCCCACAGTTAGTCAGATCAGTTCCTCTGAATAAGTACTGATCTGCTTAACTCTAGTGGTTGTAATCATGGATATTTTTAGCTATAAGAAAATAATCCTTTCAAAATTCCTATTGCTCGTCAGAAGCTATTGATATTTTAAGGAGCAAAATCCACTTAATTATTGTGAATTGGTATTTACATCCAAAAAAGTTTAAACTGATAATATACAATATATGTGGTAAATGCATTTAGTCCATGCCATGATAACAATGAATGCATTATAATAAAAATACAACATGCCTTAATCTTTACT